ATTTTTACTAGAATTTGAGTTCTGCACCCCACCTTTCTCCTGCTCCATCCAGGACTCTCTGTTGTGTTCCCTGTCAGGGCAGTCATTGGTGGTAGCCGGGCACTGTCTAGTTCTCCTGGTCTCAGGCTGATGAAGTCTCTGGTTTATGTGGCCCTTTCTGTCTCTTGGGCTAATGTGTTCCTTGTGTCTTTGGTGTTCTTCATTCTCCTTTGCTCCAGGTGGATTGGAACCAATTAATGCATCTTAGATGGCTGCTCGCTAGCTTTTGAGACCCCGGACGCCACTCACCAAAGTGGGATGCAGAACATTTTCTTAATAAACTTAATTATGCCAGTTGACCTAGATGTCCCCTGAGACCATGGTCCCCAGACCCTCGTCCATGCTGCTGTGTCCCTCAAAGTGTTTGGTTGTATTCCGGAAACGTCTGAGCTTTCATTTAGTCCAGTTGTGCTGACCTCCCCTGTAGTGTGTGCTGTCCTTCTGTTGGGAGGTTTTACACATCCTATTTGCACAGTAGACTGCCCAGTCCCTGCAAGGTGCGTATGATAGACCAATCACGGGGCAGTCTGCGGCCAACCAATTATTTTTGACAGAATTATAAACCCAGGACGAGAAGGGCTATATATAAGAGAAGCTCATTGCACTGCAAACACTAACCTTTGGGATGTGCTATTAAAATAATATCCAACTACTGTTCCATGAGAAACTATTTGTTCTGTAAGCCTTCACCTGAAGTTCAATAAAAAATAAATAAATAAAATAACATCCAAGGCAGGACACTGAAAACCACAGTTTGCGTTCAGACAGAGTGTCCACAGATTTCTTAGCATATGTATAGAGTGTGCTTGCAGCTGGTCAGGGCGGAAAGAAGGTCCTTGAAAGCCATCGGCAGATGTTATCCAAAATTTATTTCCACGTTCTGTGGGTGTTTGATATTTATCCATTAATTATCTGTTAGCCATAAGCTCTGAGAAAGGTACACTGTAAGGAACAATAGAATCCAAGTAGTTAGGAAAAAAAGTTGTTCAGAGTGTCATCTTTTTAGCTGAACTAGACTGGAAAATACAAGGATGTTGTGTTGAGCGGTCTTTGGCTCAAAGGATGCCTGTGATACGGATTTTTTTTTTTTTTTTAAATTTCTGACTTGCACTGTTTTGAGGAAATAGAAATTAAATCTATGAAACCAAGAGAATTTAAATTGCTCCCTTCGATCTTTTTCTTTCTTTACTCCCTCCTCCATCCTCTTTGTGGTTTTGGTTTGGGAAGACAGAAATAATTAAAATAGAGAGCAGTTAGAATCAAGTTAACACTTCGCTCATTAAAACTGGTTCTCAAACTGTGCTCCAGGCTGTAGCTAACTCACTGGGGCATTGCAGGGTGTTTTAAATTTTCTGGGGAAGCAGCACCATCTGTTGGACATCATACAAACTACTACAGTCAAGTTGTATGGACCTAGCTACTTAATAGGAGCCCTGGTGGCACAGTGGTTAAGTGCTCGGCTGCTTCCCAGATGGTCAGCAGTATGACCCCACCAGCTGCTCCACAGGAGAAAGATGCGGCAGTCTGCTTCCATAAATATTACAGCCTTGGAAACCCTTTGGGGCAGTTCTCTTCTGTCCTATAGGATTGCCATGAGTCGGGATCAGCTCATCAGTTCGGGTTTGGTTTTTTGATTAACTACTTGATAAATGGAACAGTTTTTTGTTTGTTTTTCCTAAGAGCGTCATAAAAAACTCACTGAGTCACTGAGAGCCTTTGCATTAAAATCTTTGTTTGACCATTGAGCAGTAATGCTGTTACCATTCCAAGACAAAGAAACTGACCCATAGTCAGCTAAAATTGGAGGGCAGAATAGCAATAGTTCTTTGCATTTGTGAAGATGTAAACTTTATTTTTAAAAGAAGTATGTAACTTAGGCAGTGTTTTCAGATTAAAAGAGGATTCCAGAATCATGGAGTAAGTATCCTCTAGAATTTCCTGGAGAGAAGTACAGAGTAGTAATAGGATTGGTATTGGGGTAGGTTGTGAGGCACTCACCTCACAGTGTGAAAAGGTTCAAGTAATCAAAATAAATATAATTTTTGTACAACATTTAAAAAAGATAAATGCTAATACAAAAAAATTCATGATGAATAGAATAGCCATTTTGGAATCAACAGGATGTGACCCTGAAATTGCATGATTTCACCTCACTCACCTTATTCTAATGGCAGCCCTAGGTATTATAAAGTAAACTGTCCTAATTATTGAAGAATTTTTTGTGGAAGGGATTCTAATATTCAGGAATGTAAGTTGAAATTTTGGACCCCTGGAAACTGGGGGAAAAGGGGTATGGTAGACTGTGGGGAAAGGGAGGAAAAAGGGATGGGTACCAATGGGTTCAAGTGTCTGATGCCATATTTTGCATAAAACTATTTCCCCCTTTGCTAGGTCAACATCTTATTTAATTTTTCTTGTCTTGTAGCATGGCGGACACCGACCTGTTTATGGAGTGTGAGGAGGAGGAGCTGGAGCCGTGGCAGAAGATCAGCGATGTTATCGAGGACTCTGTAGTTGAGGATTATAATTCAGTGGATAAAACTACTACAGGTAACAAATGCTCTTTTGATCTTTTTTTTAACATTTCATTGAGCTTTAGGTGAAAGTTTACAGAGCAAATCAGTTTCTCATTAGAAATCTATACACAGATTGTTTCGTGACATTGGTTGCAATCTCCTCAATGTGTCAGCACTCTCCCCCTTTTCCCCCCCCCCGGCTTCCCCATTTCCATTCGTCCGGTGTTCTGCCACTTCCTACTTTCTCTTCTTTGCTTTGGGGCAAGTGTTGCCCATTTGGTCTTGTATACTTGCTCTAAGGAGCATGTTCCTCATGGATATTATTGTTTGTTTTATAGGCCTATCTAATATTTGGCTGAAAAGTGGACTTTGGGAGTGGCTTCAGTTCTGAGTTAGAAGGGTGTCTGGGTTGGGGGGGTCCCTGTAGTCTTGGGGATTCCCCTAGTCTCTGTCAGACCAGTAAGCATGGTCTTTTTTCTGAATTTGAATGTTGTTCTGCGTTTGTCTCCTGCTCTTCCCAGGACCCTGCGTTGTGATCTCAGTCAGAGCGGTTGGTGCTGGTGTTTGGGCATCACTGGTTCTCCCGGGCTCCGGCCGGTGGAGGCTGTGGTTCACGTGGTCCTTCAGTCCTCGGAACTGTTTCCTCTGTCTTTGGTTTTCTTCATTCTCCTTTGCTCCAGATGGGAGGGGACCGATAGATGTGTTTAGATGGCCACTCACAAGCTTTTAAGACCCCACATGCTACTCGCCCAAGTAGGATGTAGAGCAGTTTCTTTATGAACTGTGTCATGCCAGTTGACCTGGATGTCCCCCAAGACCATGGTCCCCAGCCATCAGTCTCAGTAACTCAGTCCCTTGAGGTGTTTGGTTGTATCTAGGAAGCTTCCGTTACTGCCCCCTTTGTGCTGTGTATATGAACATACATGGCTGCACATACAAATATGTCCATAAAATCCGTAGCCTGACCTGTATATGTACGTGAGTTTACTCCTATATGCCCTCCTGGCCCTAGTCAGCGTACGTACCTACCTGTGTATCTGCTTGTAAACTGTTGTGTGTCTATACTGTTGTTGGAGGGTTGTACGTGTTATTCCCTGTGGTTGCCTGTTCGTTTCTTTGCGTTTCTCTCAGTTCTCCCTCTGCCTTGGTCAGGTGGTGTTGCCTTGCCCTGTATTGTGTATGGCCTTTCCCTGCACCAAAGTTAAGACGTGTCTCGTGTCCAGTTAGTGACTTCCCCTCCCCTCCCTCCCCTCCTGGTAACCATCAGAGAGCTCTTTCGAGCTTGTTGTGAACCTGCCCCATGTTTAAATCGGTCTGGAGGGCCTTTTGGCTAAGAAGGTATGAAGTGGAGAAGAAGGTTAGGAATCCAGGGCTGCCTCACATGGCATTGGCGCTGCTTTCTCTTCCAGGCTCTAGCCTGTAAATGCCTCCATTTCCTCATTCACAAAGCTAGAAACGTTTTTAACTCATTAAGAACGTTGAAAGGTTGGATTAACCAATGTTTAGCAAACACCTAGCAGTACTCTTGCCAAAGGATGTGTGAGCAAGAATGTGAAGTGGTGGCGTGTGTCAGTACTTTTTGTTTATTTACGCAGTCAAAAGATAGGTTCCATGGTCTTTTTTTTTTCTTTTTTAACATGAACTTGATTTCCTCTGTGAACTGAACAGAAATTGCTCCGTTTGTCTTCATGGACAGTTTAGAAATTTAGGCTTGTTAGTTTGTCTTTTTTAAGGGTGATGTTGCCAGCTCAAATTCTAGATTGCCCTGAATTCAGAAAGTGGGTGGTAGCCCCTCCACCTAATTGTACCAGCTGCACTCTTTGTTTTTCTCTTCTCTGCCTTGAGGCCTGCAGATGGCATTGGTTTAGGCTGAAACGGGACACAGTTCAGGGTCTTGTGGATAGCTTAGTTTGTATGGTTATGAATACCAGCTGTGGTGACGTTAATAAACCTTGGAGTCCTACAGGTTTGCTAGTGCTGTATAGGCAAAGCATTAAAATCCTGGTTCAGTGGTCTTACGATTTAACTGAACCCGGAAATATGAGACAAAGAAGAAGGGGTTGTGTCTCACTGGTGGAAGGAGGGGCAAGGAGGAGGAGAAACCAGATGAACAGTTAGATTTATGAATAAAACGGGAAACTTTGGCTGAAGAGACTCACAACAAGATGGAAAGAGAAGATTAGAGCAGTGTCCTTTAGTGTCATCTGTCCCTGTCTCCCAAGTGACTGTGCCTCCCCTTCCCCACAGTTTCCGTGAGCCAGCAACCAGTCTCGGCTCCAGTGCCCATCGCTGCCCATGCTTCTGTGGCTGGGCACCTCTCTACATCCACCACCGTTAGTAGCAGCGGGGCACAGAACAGCGACAGTGCCAAGAAGACTCTTGTCACACTAATTGCCAACAACAATGGTAAGTGGGCTTGTCGGGAAATTCTTCTTGGGCTAGAGGGGTGAGAGAATAAAAAGGGTTTAGGGACGGGGTGCCTGTAATTAGTTAGGCACTGGCGTGGTTTCCGCTAGTTGGAGAGGGGCCGTAGTAATGAGTCTCTGACACGGTTGCGGTTCAGTAGGCGGTGCTGTTCCTTCTGAGTTGGCGCTGACTTGATGCTGGTTGTTCCACTGCAGATTCTTACCTCTGACGATTGCTAGGAGCACAAAATGGACATCTAAACCTGAAATTCCTGACCGTTAAAAAGATATGGTTTTTTGTTTTTGTTTTAATTAGAAGAGCCTTACTAGTTTGGTAAGAACGTTCCCAGGGTAGCTTGGGTCTCTGTTTTCTCTGACAGACTCATTTGGTTATCGGTTCCCAGGTGCGGAGGACAGGATAGGGTTGTTGTCCACCTGAAGTAAATGACGGAAGAGTAGTCCTCATGCCGTTAGTGAGCTTATTGACGAGAGGCTATATCCTGTTGGTTTTTATCTGATTTCTGATGACTGTTTTCTACACTCTGAAGATAAATTATCAGCAAGTTACGTCTCAAGACTCATCACTAGAGTCGGCACCTTGCTAGAATCATTGCGTTTCTGGAAGTGACTTCATTTTTATTTCATTTCCTTTAAAAGTAAAATAACTTCATTAATGCAGGAACAGAAAGTGCATTGTAGATCAACTAGAACTAGGAAAAATCAAAAGGAAGGGGGAAAAAAACTTAATCCCACTGCCTGGAGATAGCTGCAGTAAAACCTGTGAAAGCTGGACCTTTTGTAAGGTGGAAACCTGTCACAGAAAGAAAACGCAGATATTTTCCACTAAAACGATCACTTTAGCCTAATAAATGTTCTCTGAAGGCTGGAACCTGCGAGACACGGACAGAATCAGAATATTGTTGGTATTGCAATCCCAATACGAGAAGTGCAGATGCGAAAGCCAGAAATAGTTGCAAGAAGCACAAGAGTTAGAGATGAAGGCTCAGTCTTCCGCTTCCTTTTGCATTGTTGCTGTGTGTGAGTGTGTCCTGTGTATTGCTGCTGTTCTCTGAGGACGTCTATTCTTTTACATTGTTGCCCTTTTTGTTAGGTTTTTTTTTTTTTCTTTTGCCTGTATGTCTTTTCCAGCGGAGAACAATATCCATAAGTTTGGAAGAAGGTAAGAGATACTAATAAATTCCTTTATTTTCATTAAAATCTAGCAAAGCACTCTTTTTTTCCTTGTCTTAGAGCCCTGGTGGCACAGTGGTTAAAAGCTAAGGCTGCTAACCAAAAGGTGGGCAGTTCGAATCCACCAGCTGCTCCTTGGGAACTCTGGGGGCAGTTCTACTCTGTCTTGTAGGGTCGTTGTGAGTCGGAATCTATTTGACGGCAGCAGGTTCTCAGGGGTTTTACTCTTCTCTTTATCTTTAATTTTTCATTTTTGCTTTGCCTGTTTATAATGGTGACACGTTATTACAGTTTTCAAAATCCACTCCTTCATTTCCTTGAAATTCTTTCTTCATAATTTCTTGTTTTGCCCAAAAGATAGAGAAGCATTTCCTCACTTAACACGTTCAGTGTGTGAACAAAAGCAGAAACGTTCTTCTCAGTTTTTTTTGTTAAATATTTTACCGAAGTGTACTAACTTTATCATATGATGATAGTTTTCATTTTGTTTGAGATACTCACGTTTTCTAGAAAATAAGATCGTAAATTCCTTAATCTTTATAAGAACTTACTTCCTTTTTTGTTTCCTTTTTTAAAAAAGCTTATTCCTTCACAGCCACGGACAAGCGAGTGAGAAATTTATCTCTGAAAGAAAAGTTTGACGTTGTCAAAATGATAACTGAAGAGAAAAAGACCGTCAAGGAAGCTGTAATTAAGTTCAAGTGTGGCAAAACGCAAATTTACTCAATTATGAAAGAAAAGGATAAAATAATTGAAAAATACATAAGCAGCACCAATGTAAACGTCAAAAAAGGAAGGGATGGAAATTATGCAGAAATCAACAAATCTGTTTTTGAGTGGTTTCTTCAAGCCTCCGCCAAAAACGTTCCCATTTCCGGCCCTATCCTGCAAGCAAAGGCGAAGGAAACAGCGAAGCTTTTAAAAGTTGATGGATTCTCAGCGTCTAACGGGTGGCTTCAGAGCTTCAAAAAAAACCATGGAATCACTTGCAACATAGCTTGTAGGAAGTCAAACGAGGTTGACAGAGACATTGTTCAAAACTGGTTCACAAAATTAAAAGAGATCACAAGGGGATATGATCCTAAAGACATAGCAAACGCCGATGAGACTGCTCTGTTTTACGGGGCAGTGCCTAACCGGACCCTGAAGATGAAGGGGGAGAAGTGCTTGAGGGGTCGCTTTTCCAAAGAGCGGCTTACCGTCCTCTTGACAACGTTCGCAGATGGGACATTTGAGAAACCGTGGGTAATTGGAAAGAGTGAGAAGCCACGGTGCTTCAAGAATATCAAAATCAATCAGCTTTCAGTAGAATGGAAATGGAATAAAAATGCTTGGATGACGGGAGAAATTTATGAAGAGTTCTTAAATAAGCTCAACAGTAGCATGAAGAAGCAGAATCGAAGCATTCTTTTGTTTGTTGACAGTGCCAGTTGTCATCGGCCATTGCCCCTGTCCAATATTAAATTAATTTTTTTCCCACAGTCCACAACGTTGGTCCTGCAACCTCTGGGTAGTGGCATTATCCAGAATATTAAAGTAAACTACAGGAAGCTGTTGCTTCAGAAAGCCATTGCCACCACTGAGATGCGCAAGGTGGTATCGGAGATTTCGGGGAAAGTCGACGTCCTGGATACAATCGCATTTCTTAAGCGATCCATCAAAATGATTAAGGAAGAAACCATAAGAAAATGCTTTAGGAACTGTGGTTTCTTGTTGAGCAGTAGCGATGGTATACAGAACGCACCAGTTACCGAGCCTGATGACATGGTGCAGATTCAGGGCGCAATAGATGACGTTTATAGTGGTGTTTCAGAAAACAGGGTCAGCGCTGCAACTTACGTTGATGTCGACAAAGAAATTGCCACAGAAATGGACGATATAAACCTGCAGGAAGTTATGGACTTGCAGTCTAAAGATGATGGTGAAGACTATGAAGACCTACCATTAGAAGAGCCGGAGCCTTTAAGTCACACACAGGTTTTCAGCTATATAAAGGCTTTGAAGGAATTTGGAAAAGTTAAAGGAGACCAAGAATTTTTTGATAAGGCTGTGGACTTAGAAATTTGTTTCAATCATTTCATAAACAGACTAAACAGCTGACGTTAGGTCTTTTTATTAAAAAGTGAATTTTACCCATATCTTTGTAGGAATAGTGTATGCAAATATCTGTATGTAATTTAAATAAACATCCAAGTCATATAATGATTTAGTTTCTTCTCCAGTTTTATAAAATTGAAAAGAAACCCTTTCTGGGTGTTTATGAGGTAGGATTTTTAATAGACAGCGATAGAAAAGTGGTAGAACTGTACCCTGTCAGAGGCGGGAAGCTTGGAAAAACAAGGCAGTCCCGGCGAGTTCTGGCTCTCACAGGTTTTACCGCACTAGTTTTAACTCTTATTTTGTATGTACAGTGAAACCCGTGAGAGCCAGAACTCGGTGGGACTGCCTTGCTTTTCTAGGTCTCACAAGTTTTCCACCTCTGACAGGGTGCAGTCTTACCACTTTTCAATTGCTGATTTTAGTGGAAAGTATTTGAGTTTTCCTTCTGTGACAGGTTTCCGCTACACAGGTTCCAGCTTTCGCGGGTTTTACTGTATATGTACTTTTTTGTACTCTGATGTGATTTGCTGTTTACAGAAATGGGATTGTACTGACTTTACTTTTTGCATGCTGTTTTTTCTTACTATATAGTGACTGTGACTGTCTTCCCATTTTAATAAATATTTACCTTGAACATTTCTGATGACTGATATTTCCCAGTATTTGGTTAACTATAGATTTTAAGAGGGTGTTTTGCTGTTTTAGAGAGCTAGAGTAAAAGAGTAATTCTGTCTGTATCTAAGTCATTTCTCACATCCTTAATTAGTTCTGAGAGTCCATCTTTAGAAGTCCTGCTGTTGGATCAAAGGACATCGTAGTTTTTAAGGATTTTGATCGATATCGTTGAATGGCCATCCAGACATGTTGTACCGGTTTACAGTTCCATTAGTAGTATGCGGTGTTCTTATTTTTGGATGTAGCCGTTTATGTATGCATTCTTCTGTTGTTTGACGTTTCCTAGAGCCCCCGTTTTTTTATAATCACAAATAGTGCCGTGGGCATCATCCTGGAGCATAATACTTGTGGTATAAAGTCTCAGAAGTGGGATTGCTTGGTCAGACATTTTCCTTGACCTCTCCACAAAAAGCATTTCCTTTACTCTTAAGGAACGTTTTAAGCCCACTTTTCTGTGAAGTGTCTTAGCTCCCCACTGATGCCATGTTGATATGTGACCGTTTTCCTTTGAGTGTCTGCTTGTTGTGACGTGTCATACGTAAGTAAAGTAGATCGGAACAGTTCGATCATGATTTGAAATTTCAGCGGTAATTATTAAAATACTAAACTGTGTGACCTCCAGATCTGGGAAGGAAAGATAAAGGATTTTCGTTTCAATTCAATTTAGCATATTTTGCATTCATACTATGTGTTTATATGTTAGGTTCTGTGCTGATACAGTAAAGAACTCTAAGACGTGGTTCTTGCCTTCAAAAAGCATAGATTTGTGCTAGGAATATCTGTTTATGTAGCACATATCTTTGAGTGCCTGCTCTGTGCCAAGAGCAAGGCATTGTTACACAGTGGTGAGTGAAGTAGACAGTTCCTGCTCTTTGAGACATCAAGACTTATGAAGTAACATATGTAATTAAGACAGTGTGAAATTGACGTCTTATTTTTGTCAAAATAGAGTCCTGAAACACCAGCACACATGTGGAACCTTGATATGTGACAGAGATGGCATCGCAGATCACTGGTGAAAGAAAGGACTAGGCC